GGAGTCATATGTTTGGCACCAATAGCATCCATAAGCATCTTGGCACTCTTTTCCCTTTGTTATACCTGTCTTTGATGCTCTTCATTTGGGATTCAGCCCTTTCCAATTGATTGATACAAAGAATCTTCTGGGGCCCATCTTCCAGCTCATCCCTTTCAATCCCTTTTCTCCTCAAGCTTGACTTTCTCCACTGACAGCAGCTGAAAATATTTCCATGCAAGATCCATCTTCTGCACCCCATGCCCATAACTCCTTTCCCTTTCCAACCATGTCTTATCCTCACCAACCAAGTGGGGGAATTGTTGCTTGGCACCCCCACCTGATGCCCTGACTCTCATGTGGTTCCCACCTGATGCTTTCTTCCCTTTGCTCAATCCACTCCTTTGCGTTCTCTCGTCTGCTGTTGTGCTTTGCTGATGCTTCAGAATCTCTGTCTCCCATTTGGACCTTTCAGCATAAATCCCCTTCAACACATGAGGTCTCATCAGGATTGTCCTATTCCATTTCCTTGCGCATGTTCCTTTCTGATTCTTCAGTATGCTCTCCGTTTCGGGGGGGGGGTCGGCCAAAAAAGAAAAAGGTGCTGCCTCAAATCAAGGCCACCATTTTTTTAAATCAAGGCCACCATTCTTTTTTCTGGTCGACCCCCCCCCTCTGGGAAACTCTGTGCGATCCATGTCCGCGACGCTGGCGACATTGCGATGTCTATGCGATGTCTGCTACTGTGATGTGGCGCGTGATGTGACAGTATCCTCCTACATGTTATCCTTAAATAAGAATACCTCCAGCACATAGATAGTAAATTCGTAAGAAGACTAGAACACTGGGAAAACAGACACCTCCACAACGTCGTGTTCTGTTTAAAAAAACTACGCAAACAACTTGTGTAAGTACAACTTGTGCAAGTGCCTCCGCCTACAGCCTACGCAAGCCTACAGAAAAGCAGCCTACGTAGCATTGAAAGAGTTCCCTCTTCAATCCTCTACATCTTCTTTCCATCATTCCCCCCCAAAAAGCTACTCACATGACTCACATGAGAGTTCCGGAAAAAAACACAGGTAAAATTAAAAAAATCCTCAACAAACTGGGAATGTCGCCCCAGCCAGGCATCCGGATATCTATATAATATGTATACATCTCTATATAATCGGAAATATCCTTATAAATATACTGGACTCTATATATATATATATACTGCTTTGGCCGTGGCAGCATGGACCCCCCCAAAAAGAACTGCTCGAGCAGTCCACCTGCGCCAAGATCTCTTCCACCGTATTGCCGTTGAACTTGTCCCCGAAAACCTCGCCGCCGTGCGTCGGCACCGTTTGGCGCGGTGCGTCGGCAAAGGATCTCAGCACCCAACCGCCAGTCGGCGCTGGGGTCAGGATGGCCAGTGATTGTTCTTCATTCAACCCTGGGAGTCCACTTGACTCTTGAAAGAAGGGTGAAAAGAGAACTTCCTCTCAAGTCAGGAGAGATCAACTGGACTTCTAGGGCGTTCTGTTCATCTGCAGTGGCTCGTTTAAGGTGTTAGTTTGAACCTGGGTGGCTCCTACTTAAGGTGTTGTGAACATGAATTTCCAGGAGTGGAGAGTCGAGAGACTCAGTAAAGAGTGGAGAGACCGCTGAACATGAACAGAATAAACACCTGGAAGGTCAACGTACCCTGGTTTGGACTCCGGTTTTTGACCCACAGCCATATGGGAGTCTGTGGGAGTGTATCATCTTTTGACCTTCCGGCAGGGATGGTTTGACGTTCCGGTCGTGCATGGCGGTATGCTTGAGAGGTGTAATTCGGAGGCCATGGCGGTGTGGCATTGCGGGGTGTGCGTTCAAAACACCAAAATCTGGGTGCAGTCCACATGGTGGTTGAACTGTGACCTCCACATCCACCCAGCCTGTCGAAGATCCTGGATGGAGATCACCCCACTGTGATCCACATCTAAACGCTCGAAAGCCTGCGAATGGCGCTGCTTCGGCGCTGCAAGCAGTGGCCCGGACCGCCCAAAAGAGCAGAAAAGAAGACTTCCACTGCTGCCAGGTGCAAGATGCTCAAATGTGTCTTGCGATGGTCTTACAAGCTTGCATGCCATTCCACTGCCCCCCCAAAATGGAAACAATGTTCATTCCCCTGCAGTTTTCTGCACTCAGAAAGATGCACAACCCCAGCAAGACCCCCTACAAGTAGTACAGAAAGGCTCGCCACAGCAACAAAAATCTGGTGAGTTTGATGCCCGATCAACTCCTGTTGGGGGGGGCCCTCCGCATCCCACAACGAAGGGACCGAAACATCTTCTCTACCCCTCTGAACTCCGGCTGCTCGAAAAGTTGACAGCACAGTTTACTGCAGCATGTGTCCTCCAGCCTGCTTGATTAAGGCCTCATTGCACATGTAGCGACTTCCGTTGGCCGCTGCGATGAACTCACCTGGTGTAGGCGCATGTTTGAGTGCGCCAAGGGCAAGTGGGTTCTGTCGTGGGTTCGCAGCCCACATCAAGTTCATTTGACCAAGTTGCTTGGTTGGATTACAGTTCAATGGTATTGAATGGCTGGTTGGTAGCTTAGGTTAGTTGCTGGAATGCTAAGTGGTCATCTCCATGTGTGGCCAGGTCGCTGTATTCGATCTCATCATCTCCTGACAGGTCCAGCTTCTCGAACAGCGCCTGAACAGAAAGTGGCTGATGCTGATGCTTTCAGAAAGTGCGAAAAAAAGGGCATGAAAAAAAATCCCAAACACTTTTGACTACATATACATGACTACATATACAATAATGGTATATGGAAAATTTGACTACATTGACCCCTCTGGCACCACCCCGACTGATCGGCAGTCCTATGCCAGTCCCATGGATAGTCCATGGAGCGTCTGGGAATGGACTCTACACATCTCCCACTGGGATTTGTGGCCTCCAACCCATGTGGAGTTCATGCGGTTAACACGTGGCTTTACAGGAGACTTTCAGTGGTTGGTCGAAGACATGGCTTGATCCACAAAGTCCTTGGTGCCAGGTGTGGTTACTCCCTGGAAAATTACCAGGAACCATCAGGAACCCGAAAACAACTTACAGTAACTTAAGCCTTTGACGCCTCTCTCTCTCTCTCTGAGTTGTCCAGGAAAGATCAGGGTCGGAGAAGAACACCATCCCGACGATGAGCCCCACACTAGAGCCCGCTATGACGAGTGGACGGAATTGGTCCAGTTCCGGGTGTTACAACGAACTGATAAGGTTTAGGGATCCAGTCGTACCAAACCTCAGAAGGTACGACCGGACCATCAAAACCTACATAAGAGTGTCTCCAATCACCGTACCTGAGAAGGTACGACTGGATCCCTAGGGAAGGTAGTTGCAGCATGCTGCAGCTAGCTTTCCTGAGTTCAGCCTTGAGAAAGTGCGACATCCACAGTATCAGTAATGTAAACATCATAGACCTCCCAAGACCCAAGATCCCTTACAAATCCCTGGGCCCTACACTAACCCCCACAACCACGCACGAACCAATCCAACAACTCTCATGCATTTCTTCTTGCAAAATGGTTCTCTTCCAATTCCAATCACATCTTCCAACCCCCGGTCGTGGCGGCCGTTTGGGGTTCCAGTACCGGGGGTCATCCTTCGCAAAAGTTCTTCCACGGAGGTGGTCGTTGATTCTCCAAACCAATCAGTTGGGTGAAGAATAATACCAACTAAGCATCATTAGGTGCATTTCTTGAGGGGATAGGAATCCATCAAGGGAGAAATGCAACTGTGACGGTCTAATATATTAAGACCCCCAAACAGGCACATCAACACCACCAACAGCTTTTTGGAGCGAATTCCGCGTGCCTTCGGGGCAGTTTATGCGGGCGTTTCGAAGTTCCGCCTTTGCTTCGGCTTCCGTCATTGACAGCTGGCGAACCTGGCGACGGAGCTCTCTCTACGCGCGTGACGTTCGGGGATCAACTGAAGGCCGGCAACCTGAATTTTGATGAGCGCAAAACATCAATGAGAGGCGTGGCCATGCGTGGCCATCTGAGATGTTAAGTCATATGCCCAAGTCAGTGCACATTTAAAAAAAAATAGCGCATGCAACCTCCTAAAGAAACATTGGATCCAGTTGCATAATCAAAACCAAGTGTGGAGTCTTTAATCTTGACACGAGTTCCTCTCTGTCTTGACTGATCAACCTTGGGCCCTGCCCCCCCCACAGTAACAGTCGTAAAGGGTCAGGGCCCTTAAACCATACCCCCAAAAACCAAGATGGACCGCTATTTCCGAATCTTCTCCCAAGATTCCCGATCTTCTCCGGGGGACCACAGGCGACCCAACACCTCGCGCATCCTCGCGTGTTCACGCACACGCGTGAACGTCTACCACGGTAAGCACGGAGCACCGTGCTTAGTGCGCAGGGGTGTCCCCGAAATCCGGTTCCAAGGAACAAAAGCGGATGCCAACTCAGATTTGAGGATGGTTCCACTGCCTGGAGGAGAAAGAAGAAGGCGCAAGCTGGAGGAGGCACTTTGACGAGGGCAGCATGAGAATCCCCGAAGGAAGCAGTGCTTTTGTGGGGGTGCTTTGGGAAGAAGGATGCGCAAGAATACGCCACACACAAGCTTTTCAGTATATTATATATATATATATACTGGGCGCAAATGACTTAGGCTTTAGCATCTGAAGTAACATAGTGACATAGGTGTCATTGCATGTTATTTTGCATAAGGCCTATGTCATGGTGTCCTGTTTGCGCCAAACATACCCCAACCAGTCAATGAGATAGGACTTGTGGAAGGCCGTGAAACATGATAAAACAGGCACTAGTCCGCATAGGCTCAGCTAGGCTCTATTTCCGTGATTGTTCGATCAAAAGGTTTATGCTGAGAAATTCTGCCCACTTGCTAGCCAACAAACAACCAAGTGCAAAGTGGCTATGAGTTCGCCTGATCTCTCCCATTGCCCACGAATATCGATTTCAAAAGAGTACAGCTCTGAAGATAAGCGCACTTATATATCGTTGCCTCGAATTCAACAATGGCGCTACCAAAAAGACTAACACATCTGGGAACCTCTAAAATTATATGCTGCATGTGTCAGTGGGGCACCATAATAAGGTCGGCGTGTGCCCGCCGGCACCCTAGGGTTTCCAAAAGGAGGAGTCATTCCTCCAAGGGGCTGGCGAGAATGGTCGGTCCATGGAGAGCACATTGCTATACCTACAGAGGTCTCCAGTGACCTGAACGTTCGGACCCGTCACCAGGGGTACCCAACGTTCGGGTTCTTCAACCACCTCTGCCGGTCCATTGCTGTGGTCGGTCCATGGACTCGATGTGTGACATCGGGTGGACCAAGGCAGGTCATCCATCGTCTTCGAACGAACACGTTCGACGCGGCCGAGACATCCAGAACTGGTCTTCTGGGGCCGCTCTGAGTCTAAGCTCGGCGCGAGGAGCGACATGGTGCCGTGGATCGATGAGTCCGTAGCTAAAAGGGGTGGTACACCTCTTGAAAACGGATGGCAGTGCTGGATGCTGTGGAGTCTGTCTCCTCCTCAGGTCATTCTATTCCAAATACTCGCTCGATGGCCCATGGCACCAGTGCATCCATGACCTCTACATGGATCCCCAGATCTGAGCGGACTGGATGGATCTGGATGGGTGGGCGCTTGAGATGGATTAGATTAGATAGTAGTACGGCCTCTCTCCAAAATTAAACAGATTCAAAAAAATGAAAAGCCTCTCAAAATGCATCATTAATATAGTAAGTATATATATATATATTCATCTTTCTGAGGATTATCATATATTATCATAGATTATCTGTCACCAACTGTTGCAGGTCATGGGGCCCCCCTCCATGTAGATCCAGGCGGTCCCATGGAATTGGGTATGTCCGACGGTCGTCGTCCATGAAAACACTCCTCTCTTCGTTGGTGTGAAAAACGGCTTCCGGCGCTCGGGCCTTCTTTGTCCAACTTCCTGAACTCCACTTCCAGATCTCCTCAAGGGGATGAGCTCTCACATACCCAGGGAGAGCTGGGTGTCTAAAATGAAATCCCAACGCTGGGGGGAACGACGGATGTCTCCATTCGATATTGCCACGCATTCGATCCCCCCAGCATCCCCCCACCAGGAATTCCAGAACATCACGGGCGGACGCGAAGCAAAGCAGGTGGAAGCAACATGAACCGGAGGAGTCCCGAAACAAACAGTGAAGAACAGCAGCTCCCTCATCCCCCAGGAAAAGGCCAAACAGTGAAGAACATCCCGGGAACCGGAGAAATCCAAAGGAGGTGTTGTTGAAGCACGCGATCCCAGGCTGCCCTATAATAGTTATATACACATGTCCTGAGAGTGAAAAACTATACACATATAATGGTCTTTCGGTGACACAAAGTTCGGAATGTCATGTACTTCCGTGATGCCAAAATACAGTCTTTGGACTTTCAGGGTATTGCATTTCAGAAAGAACTCAGCTATAGCTGAAGCTACCTTTCGTGAACGCAAACGTGCTTCTTGGAGACTTGTGGATTTATGCAGTCACCAAGGGATGCTTTTTCGTCCCATCCAGTGAGTGGATGTTCTGTGGAACGGTCCCCAGGAGCGGAAATTCCGATGAAAAAGGGACCTGCACCACCTTCTCAACGTTCCAATTCGGGGCATCACTATACAGCAATTAAGATCAAGACCGGAGGAATAGCTGTGTATAGTTTATATCGAGTTGTGTAGTTGTGTATTAAGTTAATCCCTAGGGTTCCAAGTACCTCCGGGTGCCAGCCACCTTGTGCGGTAAACATTGCCAGGGATACCCGCCTAGATACCTTAAGGATATACAATAACACATCCCTAAAATCCGGTCGTACCTTCTCGGGTTCTGTACGACTGGACCCGACAATGGCGCCTGCATAACAGTGTCGAACTCATCACCATCTGACCAAGTACGACTGGATCCCGGTAGATAAACTTAACAACCCCTAAGGCTCCTGGCCCATCTCCTCAGGTTCCGTGGTTAGGCTCCCCTGGCACCCACCCCTGTCCCATCTTCGAAACGGAGGTAGTTGGAGCCCAAATGGGGCCCCGCCGAGTCTCTGAGGTCATCAGTGCCCACCATGGAGAAGGCGATCAGGCCAAAGGCGGCTCGCTTGATGACGTTCCTCATCGAACGACCCCAGAACGAACAACCAGAGCCGACCCCAAACTCCGGAGATTGGGTGGAGACACCCATGGGATCTTGCAACCCACCGATCGAATTTGCTTTCACCAGTGGCGATGTCGTCTACATGATACCTGACCCACTGCACCTCATGCACTCGGGGGGAGGCATGAAACGGGAGATAAGGACGCGAGTAGAATGAACTTCTTTGGGGCCAACTGATGATCACACTTTCTGGGACGCGCCTTCTTGTTTATCAAACAAAAATCTACGAAGACTTAAGTTAGAGAACGGGCATCTTTGTCCGTCTAGCACCCCGCATTCCGCGGAAGACCCAAAAAGCCCAGAACATCCCGCAACTCCTCTCCGGAAGCCCACCACGTCGACCGTTTCGTGACCTCGATCGAGCGGTTCGCAGGCTTCACTTGCCAAAGGTGCATTGAACCGAAGTCCCTCAAATCTTCCAGTACTTTCTTGCTGATTTCACTCTTTGCCCCTGGACGTGATCGCAGTACTTCGGACGACAAAGAAAGCGTGACACCGTTGTGCGAGGGTGGATGTCACGTGACGGTGGAAACCGAAAAAATAAGTATATCAAGAAAAAGAGCGACAGCCCGAACATGACAGGTCTCACTGGCACAAGCAATCCTCAATGATTAGTGGCCTCCAACCAAGGAATGCTTCTTGATATGAAGCACATGTATATATAATACATTGTAATACATTTCTATCATTATGATATAGAAATACATACCCAATAGAATAATTAAGTGTGATTGCCGATCATTTGGCGAACTACCCTTTCCAAAGCTAGAACCACCTGGCCATGTGTCTTAGAACCTCCGCCTCCGGCGTTTCGCGCGGCACCTTCCGCTTCTGCCAGCCAGCGGTGCTGACTGATCTCCCGTGCAGTGGGGCGGTGAGACACATCTCGATCCAAGAGCTGACACCTGAAACAAGCAAAGAGCAGAAGGGGAGAAGTAGGAGGTGCATGGCTGGCAACACCATAAACTAAACCACGAGAAATTTGACCAGAAGCGACCAAAATAGAAGTCAGCAAAACATCTGATTGATCACATTGACACCAAGGCGGCAAAAAGAGACGCAGCATGCTGCCGGGGGGGCACAAAATCTTTGCAATCCTCTGAGATGTCGTCCCATGCCTGACCTGCAAGCACAAATCGTTCACAGTGCCATTTGACTCTGACAACGGCGCAAACACCAAAGTCAAACAATGTCAAACGACTAATTAGGCAGTGGATCTGTGATTGTTGTCTTGTTCTTTGGGGCCAAACCATGCAAAACACCCACTTCGGGATGCTGATTTCTTTCTTTCCACGCATGCTGATACGCAGGTTTCTCAGTCCCAAGTACCGAAGGCGAAGGCTGGAGTACTTCATGCGGGAGCCGGGAGCCTTTCAAACAAATGGGAATCATATGGGACGACTCCGTTGGAGGGCCTCGAAAACTGTGAGAAACACACATGTTTGGCCTTTCTAGGGAATGTCATGGTATATGTACAGTACTGTGTACGCCGTACGCCAGGCTGCAGCACACATTCATCCCGCGCATATGGGTCGTGATTGTGGTTGTTCTTGTTGTTGTTGTTGCTGTTGTTGTTATAGGTATCGTTTGTTAGTTGTTGGTTGTCGAGTTCCTGGTTGTTGTTTCTGTTGGTGCTGGTGCGCTTCAACCGCCGCATCTTCTTGTTGCTTCATCGCAAGCGTTCTGAAACCATCGTTCTGCCCGGCGGCTGTGAACATCCAAGGGTTCGTTGCAAATCTTTTGCATCGTCCAATCCTTAGATGCGTCTCCGAGCTATTGGAGCAGCTGAGCCAGCCGAGCCAGGGGGAAGGTGTTGTGCGCTCCGCAACTTGTCGCGCCAAGATGGTGGGGGATGGTCATCCCAAGAGGTCCGGCATCTTGTAACAGGTTGTATCACAGAGTTCCCTGCTTTCAAGTGCATGACCAACCCTCATGATCCCGTCTGCGGCACGCTGTGCTGTTTTCAGCGGGCCGCCGGGCAGTGCGGTTCTTCTCCGGCAGGTGCGGTTCTTCTCCGGTGAAACTGGAGAGAGGCTTACAGCCATCAAAGGTCTATAAGAAAATGCTCTCAACCGCGCCTCAGATTCGGACCAAGTCTCGAACAAAACACCGACAAAGGAGGATCAGGGAATACGGAAGAACACTTAGCATTCCCAACTTCGCACAAAAAGATTACAACACATGTCTAAATGTTTTGAACCAGGTTCTCACAACCTTCAAGTTCAAAACAAACAAATAACACACACATATATTATACAATATATATATAAATACTGTTCAAACCGAATGGGAGTGGACGAAGCACGAGTCCCAAACAATTCCGAGCCATCCATGGGACTAGTCTATTTACCGGTACCTACATTGGGGGGGTTGAAAATGGGGGTCAATGATAGCAATGGGGCATCATCTATTCCAGTCTCATGGTGGGACCTGGATATGTCGGGATTTGCTGGATGCACTCCCCTCTGAGAAGGTCAGTGATGCGAAAAGAACAAAAATGATGCAGGTGGGCCCAAGGAAATCGCAACTTTCATCCCAAACAATTATGATGGGTTTCCTATGGGTTTCCTGTCAAAAATAATCCCTCAAACCAATTCTGAGAAAACAGGCCCAGCTATCAGGTAAAAATAAGTAAGATTAAGATAGATTAAGTAAGTAACTGATCAGGAACATCCAAATGAACGTACTGGGGATGGCCGGCCTCCTGGTTCCCGTTCCTGTTCAACGAATCCGACTCCAGTATGAAACAATCGAATTGAACTGTAGGGGGAGGGCCCAAACGACAGATTGGGCACTTGTCGCCTAATGATGCCCAATGCACCTAACCTCCCCCCCCTCTTGTTGTTTCCGAGAGGCTACTGGTCTCAAAGAGTGTCTCTTGGATCAGTATCTCCCTGTAAACATTGCTTTCAATCCGCTTCAAGGCGTTGACTAAAACCTGGCTCTTCGGTGGGCAAAGGCAAGAATTCTGGTCCAGCAAGGTCAGCAGCACCTGGAGGCCGTGCAGAAGGCGGGCCGCTCGAACGGGGTGTGCGACGTGCGACGTTTTCCGCCAGAACGTCCCGGAGAAAAACGTGCGAAAGGTAGCGGTGTGTGTGTGTGGTGAGGAGAAGGTGATGCAGCGAAAGGAACACACTTCATGCGTGTTCCTTGGTCAATCCAGAAGCCTATAGCGACAATAGCAAAAGAAAACCACTGAATAAGCAAAGCCCAAACACTCCAGGTGTGGCAAATTGGTCTACATGGACCCCTTTTCCATCAACCCCAACTGATCGGCACAGTCTGGGCAGTCCCATGGGTCGTCGTATCTGGGCTACCACCCGCGCCCAGCGCCGCTCGACCCGGTGCCCGGGGGAAACAGAAAAGGCACCTGACATCACCTGCGCGTGTGTGATATGTGTTATATACGTCTAAGTTAATATGTCATATCATATCTGCTAGAAACTGGCGAAAGAACAGTGGACGGGCTTGGAGCCAGGAATGTTGGAGAGATACCAGCAAACATCATCAAACATCATCAAACCCAAAACGATTTCCCAGCGAAGGCCTCGCTCAAAAGGAGCTGCTGAACAGTATCACCAGAAGCGAAGCCTTTGCACAACCACTTCCTTGGATTGAGTACGATGGGTCAACAAAAAGAGGTCATCGGTGACAACGTAGGCCGGAGAGGATGATTGGTGAACTGTAACAGTGGCAAGCCCAGTTGGTTCATTGATCCCTTTGGATCCATGTACCTTCTGAGGTACGGTGATTGGAGACTATTGATGCAGTCTTGCAGGGTCCAATTACCTTCTGAGAAGGTGGCAGTGGATCAATAAAGGGATAATGTGAATTGGGGCCTGGGAGTTCTTGCCGCCGAAATGAGAAAGATGCTGGACTTCAAGCCCTCCCGCTTCCCAGCAGGATGAGTCCTGCTGGTGTTCTACCTGTTTCTCTTGCCCCCCTAGGCTAGTTGTGGGATGCTGTGGGCGGTCTTAAAGGACTGCAAATGGGACCCACATGCAGCTTACCCTCCCGGCTGCCTCAGGCAACATCAGGTTCCAAAGGCAACCTGAACTTATGGGACTGCTTGGGGAGCATGGGGAGTCTGAGCATGCACCAGCAAGCTGGATAGCTCACTATGATGGTTTAGGGTTTAGGTCACCTGACTCCATTGACTTTGAGGCAAGGAGTCAGGCTCTACCCCTTGGCGGATTGGCGCACCACTGCATGACCCCGTCGTTGTGTTCCCCTTCGAGTGGTCACCCGAAAGAAGCCGTGTGAGTATGAGGAAGAACATATTGGGAAAATGAATCCCTCACTGCCTGCACTGCCTTCCCCAAAGGAATAACATCTGGTGCTAATACCCCACCCTGTTCGAAACTTAAATCTATTCATGGGTCGATAGGGGTAAACACAGGGTACCCAGTACCCCACCATGTCAGAAACTCCAATTCAACCGTGTCAGGCATGGGTTAACCCACGCACCGACCCATGCAACCAAGGCTTCAAGCCCATCAAGCAGAACTCCTGGAGCGGTCAGTCCGACACGCGCTTCCGGGGTCCACAGCGAAGCGGCGAAGCGGGGTCCACGAGCTGGGTGCACATCGATGACAGCTGGGTGGAGCTCGATGACAGCTGGGGAGCTTGGTTTCCAAACCACACCACTGGGAGCTGAAGTGCAAGAGGTCCGCCCATGCTTCATTAGTGCCAGGCCTATAGGCAGTTCCCCTCAGTAGCTTTGAGGTGTTGATCTTCCCCCCCCCCAAACGGAGCGACCCGACCGACCACCGTCGACGGACGCGGCTTTTCGGCCTCGCCTCATCACGCTCGTGGAGCGCGGTCACGAGGGCGCCCTGCTCCAGGAGGGCTTCCACGATCCCGAGGCCCATGCGGAGATCCTGCGGTCTCGCCCCGGTCGGTCTCGATCCGGTGGTCAGGTGAAGCAGTATCGATCGAAGCAGGTCGAAGTAAGCATGGATCATACTCACCTGAAAATAGATCCTCCGAGAAGGTGAATTGGAGTTGGAAAAGCCGGAGGGGTGAGCCCAAAGACTTGGACAATAGGGAGAACCGTTTTTTTTGGGCCTATGTCTATACATCCGCAACTGGATGGTGTGCAGCATGTTAGACCAACTGTTCTTCACATCGGACCGTCTCAGCTCTCGGCCTCTGTTCCGGAACGTGACTCTGTTCACTGGGTGGGAGGAGACCACAATGACAGCAGGGATTCTATCTGAAGACTTCCAACACCAGTTCTTCCCATGCCGACAACTCCCAGAAACCCCCAGCTTTACCAGAAAGAAACTACGGAAAGAGACTCCCGTGCCCACCTGACAGAGAACTGAGTATACCGTGGCACCGGTTTTTTTCTGCAACATCGACCATAAACATCGGCATTCCCCACGGTCCATGGTCGGCTCAAAGAGACACTCTCCGATCTTCTTGTATTCAAACCTGGGCCGTGCGCCCCCGCTGGGCCCATTCGACCTCCCGTTGGTCGCGACCTCTGCGGAGCCAGTCGATGGGGCGACTGAAGAAGTCCGACCGAGACTCGGTTCACCTAGAAACTCCAAGACTTGGTTTGGATCTGCTGGATTCATGTTCAAACTGGAACAGGTAGCATCTCCGCCAGGAGTCTCTTCTTTTCTTCCCCACCTGGCAGATGTTTCAATCATCCAAGGAGCTTGCGAAAGAAGTAATTCACCTGTCGGGGTCCCGCGGAAGAAGTCGAGACTAACAGGGGTGTCCATGTGTTCCATGTTTGAAAGGACAACGTACAGGATGTTGGGGGCCCAACTGGGTCTTCGTCGCTCACCTACCTCACCTCGCTCACCTCGCTCTCCAAGTCACAAGTCCTGAGTCCCCCGAAAATCCTTCGTCTGATCGGTGGGTTTGCTTCATCAACAGTTGCATCCCTTTGGTCGCGATATATGGGTGCAAATCACATGGCAGTTATGACTTCGGAATGTGTGAGTTCCCATGTATACTGTATATGTTGTGTTAATAAAATATCCCATGTCATCTGAAGTAGGTAGTAAAATTCAGATCCACTCATAGGCTCAACCAGTCAGTGTCATCATGGACGTCATCGAGTTCCCCAAAACAGTCCAGTGGTAAGTCATCGAGATGCACGAGCAGCTTTGTCATATAATGTCATATATATATATAGTAAACATAAGTAAACCAATAAGGCAATAAACCAACACAATTTCTCTATATTAAAAACAAAAATATACAAAAACACTTGCTGGAGGCTGGGGAGAATCATTTCTTCCACCCCACTTGAGCAAAGCCCCAGGAGTTTCAAGGGATCGTACGCCTCCTTGACGCACGCATATGTCTGGCATGTTTTGTTGCCCTAGGGCCCTAGGGATCCAGTTGTACCGTACCTCAGGTTCGGTACGACTGGACCCTCCACACCTACATAACAGTGTCGAACACATCATCTTCTGAGGTATTTGGATCCCTAGGGTTGGTGGTCCCGCTACACATGGGAGTATATTATGCTCGCATGACATTAATGATGATCGTGCGATTTTGTACATTTGTTCTGGGTCTGCATGTTTACAAGTTAAATCAAGTTAATTTTCCATCAAACCTCAGTGCCTCCACCATAGAGTTGGTTTCCACGAAAAAAACTGCCTCTTTGCGCTCATCTTCTGTGGAACTGATGAATATAAAAGATTCAACCAGCGCATACACTGGCCACGTGGGCATAAACAAAGCTGAGACCAACAAAGCTGAGACCCCCTGGTGGGTCTCGTCCCTCCTCT